CCACTTTATCCGGCACTGGGTGAGCGTGCAGCTGGGGACGGAAGTGGGCGCGGGGGCCTCTGGGAGTGCGCGCTTCCCTGACTGACTGGCGGGCCGGGCATGCGCTGCGGGCGTTCTGGCGGGAAACGCGAGGCGGGCCGGACAATGAGAGTGTCCGCTTCATGAGCCAATAAAGCTGCATTGGTTTTGAATCGCGGCGCGTTTCCCGCCGCTGGGGTCAGGGGTCGGGGTTCGGGTCGCGGGGCGGAGGGAAGAGCGAGCGGGCAGGAGGCGCCGGCGCCAGACGCGGAGGGAAATAGCTACGAGTAGCCGCCGAGAGGCCGCGGAGCCTGCGACGACCGAGCCAGCCCAGCCGCCGCCGCCACCGCGCCCCCATGGCGGCCACCAAGGTGAGGCCAGGCCCAGGCGAGGACTAGGTGGGCGGACGGGGCCTAGGAGTGGAGTCGAGGCCGCTATCGGCGGCCACGTGGGCGGCCCGCGCCGACTTGGCCAACTCCCGTCGGTCTGCGGGTCAAGCGCCTGCGGGGCCTTCCTCGTGCAGGGCCTGGGGGCTCAAGGCCTGTGAGTCCAGCGCCTAGTGTCCGGAACGCCTGCGGGACGCCTGCGTGACCTTGGGGGTGGGCTGGGAAACGGCCGGGGCCGCGCGGGACCGCCCACGGACCGGAGACCCAGGCAGGCGGCCTGTTTCTTCTGACTCGGCCCCCTCGGGGCTTCCCAGTAGTGCGATGCAGCGGTCCCTTCTGTCGCCCACGCAGCACTTCATTCAGTCTTGACGTCTGGGACCGCCACAATTCTTTATGGCACAAATCGTGTTCCAGCCGGAGTCGGGGGGGGACGGGTCCTGGAGCGCTGGTCCAGGGCGGGGGAGCCTTTATTGGTTGCTGGTGCCTGGTTGGGTGCGTGCCGTGGCGGAGCCGCAGTGCTGTTGAACCCGGGAAGAGCAGCCAAAGGCTGTATTTTTCTTTACGATTGCATCTGGTCTCTTAAGGACTTCTGGGTCACCAAGGCACATGTTTTGCAAGACTTACACCCAAAATACGGTTATTTGTGGTCTGTAATTCTCTAAATGGGTGAGGATTTTATGACGTTGGCTTGTATGGTTTATTTACTTAACCAACTTAATTTTGCAAACTATGAGAAAATTGCTAACAGAATTGTGAGTTCTGTGTAAATACTCTTAGTCCCATAGCAATTTTTTTTTATTTTTAGTAAGGAAGAGTTCTGGCATTTCTAATTAGTAAAAACTGAGAATTGCTTTTTGTTTTAAAGGTAAAGCTCTTGAGATTTATCATCTGCATCCTTTGATCTTCCCATAGCAGATGTCACCTGCATTTTATAGATGAGGAAACAGGTAGTTTCTCCCAGACCACTCTACATGTGCACCGGAGTTTCAGGAGCCCCTGCCAGTCTCTGCACAGCTTTGATTGATGTTTGTGAATGTGAGGGAGCAGTGCTGAAATCTAGTGTCTTAACATTGCTCTTGCCTGGTGATTCTGACAAACCATTCCTGGTGTTGAAAAGGCTGTGGGTTGAGTTTCTTACTTTGGGGTGAGGCCTATCCTTGCATTCAAAGGCCATTCACTCTCTGAGTCAGGTCTGAAGGCCAGCAGTGTCATTCACCTCTGTGTACTTCTCTCCACAGGACACTCATGAGGACCACGATACCTCCACTGAGAACGCAGATGAGTCCAACCATGACCCGCAGTTTGAGCCAATAGTTTCTCTTCCTGAGCAAGAAATTAAAACGCTGGAGGAAGATGAAGAGGAGCTTTTTAAAATGTAAGTAGGCTGATGTCCCGGAAGAGGTATCTTTAGAAGTTATAATGTTTAGAAGTGTCAAGATCTTATTCTGAGTTTTTATCAGACTGAGGCTCTTTGAAGAAAGAGCCTAAAACTGTGTGGTGACTAATACCACTTAGAAAGTCAGCCCATTCCTTCAACAATTCTTCACCAGGTAGACCTGCTGCCCCCTAGCCTGTCACTGCTGCTCTGTCCACTGGTGGGTCTGTTGAGCTGGTTGTCTTTGCCATCCGTCTCCGAGGATCCACGAGCCCCTTCCTTTGGTTGAGCAGGGAGTCTTTTAACTGTTTTTGCAGCACAGACCTCTTTGGCAACTTGAAGCTTCTGAGTCCCCAACTTAGTGTTTTCGTGCACAAAATAATGGCCAGAATTACCAGTGAAAGCTAGTACTGGTTTAGTTATCAAGATTACTTTTTTTATTTTTTTGAGACAGAGTCTTACTCTGTTGGCCTGGGTTGAGTTCTGTGGCTTCAGCCTCACAGCAACCTCAAATTCTGAGGCTTAAGAAATCCTCTTGAGGCCAGGCATGGGAGGGCTCACGCCTGTAATCTTAGCACTCTGGGAGGCCAAGGCAGGTGGATTGCTTGAGTTCAGGAGTTGGAGACTATCCTGAGTAAGAGTGAGACCTAAAAATAGGCTAAATAGCTGGTGTTATGGCGGATACCTGTAGTCCCAGCTTTTCAGGAGACTGAGGTAAGAGGCTTGATTGAACTCGAGAGTTTGAGATTTCTGTGAGCTGTGATGCCATGGTACTCTACCGAGGGTGACCAAGTGAGACTTTGTCTCAAAAAAAAAAAAAAAAGGAAAGAAAAAAGGAGAGATCCTCTTGCTTCAGCCTCCCGAGTAGCTGAGATTATGTGCACTCACCACTACACCTGGCTAGTTTTTCTATTTTTAGTAGAGATAGGGTCTCACTCTTGCTCAGGCTGGTCTCAAACTCCTGAGTTCAAGCATCCACCCTCCTTAGCCTCCCAATACTTTTTAGGAATTTCTGTATATGTGTTTTTTTGGTGAGGAACTATAGTGTTGGGTATAAGAGTTGGTCTTGTGACTGTCACAGCACTGTGACCTGTTGCCTATACTCGTAATCACAGAACACATTAGGTTCAGTTATACCTTTAAATATAGTATGATAGCAGGTTTGATTGCTCCAGGGTTGGGTAGAGACACAGGCCATACCTACCCTTTTACCTCTTGCTCTTGGGATGGGGCAGGGTGGGAGCCTGGGAAAGGACTGCTATATGTGCCCCTTGTCATAGAGGGTGGTGAGGGTCGCTTCCTAGGGTGAAGTGGGACTTGCTGCTGTTACCTACCTGCTGGCATGAGTGAGAGGTGCTCTGGTGCTTTGGGCATGGGCCCCTGAAGGAAGTGAGGCTGTAGTTTGGCTTTTGCATCTGAGCCCTTAGGCTCTATGGTAGAACTTAGGGTTTCTCTTGATAGGGACCCTAGTGAGGGTACAGTTTCCCTCGACAGAACTGCTTGGGGTGGAGGGAGCGGAGTCTTGCATGGGACAGGGACAGGCATGAGTCCTGAAAGCACACTGCTTGGGTCAGGTGCCCAGGTCCCGAGCATGCGGTGCTGCTTTTGGGCAGGAAGGCTGGTTGCTGGCCTGTAGCCTATTTGTCTGAGCAGAGGCCTAGGTTGGAGCATCTCACAGTTAAGGCCTGGGCCTGTGTAGGGTGGGGGCCTTAGCCTCTCCCTGCTTTGAGTTGTTTCTGTGGGTCCACAGGCCTGAGGAGTACACCTACACTGTGACCCTGGGATGCCCAGCCTCTCTTGGGGAAAATGTTGCCACCATAGACATGTTTTTTTTTTTTTTTTTGATTGTGCAATAAAGATGACCTAAAACTTGGGCTGTTGTGCTCTTTGAGGGTGGTGTTCTTGGAGCCTGAAGAAGGGACGGTGCTTGCAGTGATGTCAGGTGCAGTAGTGCAGAGTGTGCTGTGTTTAGTGCAGTGAGTTTAAGGGTTCTTTCTGGGCAAAGTGTGGCACCAATGTCCCTTTCTCTCTGTGTTTTAAGCTTTTTGGTGGCTTTTCTTACAGGCGTGCAAAGCTATTTCGATTTGCTTCTGAGAACGATCTTCCAGAATGGAAGGAACGAGGCACTGGTGACGTCAAGCTCCTTAAGCACAAGGAGAAAGGGACCATCCGCCTCCTCATGAGGAGGGACAAGACCCTGAAGATCTGCGCCAACCACTACAGTAGGTGCCTTTGGGCGTGTATGTTCTCCCTGAGCCCACGATGCTCTCAGGGCTGACTGGGAGCCAGGGGGCATGTTCTTATATGAAGTGCACGTGATTTCCAAATGTGCCTCTGGACTAAGAACAGGCCTGCATGAAACTTAACAACATGGAGGTGCGCAGTCTAGCTAGACAGGCCCTGCTGGGATGCTGAAGCCCAGGGAGGGCTTAGGGCACAGTGAGTACTACAGGACAGGGTGAGGGCCAGTGGTGTATGTGTATGTGGGCACACAGTCCCTAGGCTCTGTGTGACTGCATTGAGGGGGTATGTGAACGTTTTGGGTGTGGCATCTAGGCATGTATGTAGTAACTGAGTGTGTGTAGTGTGTGTATGGTATTTGAGTGTGTGAAGATGTGCCAGGGTACCTGGGCAGCAGCCTCCCCAGCCTTTGGTGTGTTCTACCCCCACCAGGATGTCCCCCAGGGAAGATATGGGAGGGGGACAGCTCTGGGGAGAAGATGGCCACCAAGTCCTAGGCGCCTGAGAAGCTGCACAAGGAGTGAGTGGAGGCCCATGGGCAGGTGCAGCCATGAGCCCTCATCACTGTGTGAGGACTCAGGGAAGGGCCACAGGAGGTTTGGCCTAGAAGGAAGTGGCAGTAGGTTGTGCCAACTTGTATGGCTGCCAACTGTGTGCAGGCCAAGTTTGTGCTGCCCCTGCCTAGTGGCATGTTCAGAAGCCCATATCCTGGGGAGTCCCTTGGTGAAGCTCTTGATGTCATCGTCTGTTTGCTGAGTGTAATGTGTGTTAGTGGGGACAGGGCCCCTTGAGCTGGGCATGCGGGGTCATGCAGAAGAATGAGCAGTTCTGCAGAGGTGCTGGGAAGGGAGCAGGGGCCCTCTCTGTCCCACAGCTGCTTCCATGCCCAAGCCTGTCAGGCCTCCATCCTTGCCCTCAAGCCCAGTTTCCACCATTTCCCTGGGGTCTTCCTTGATAGCCATGCTTCTCCCAAAGCCTCATTGATTGCTGGGTTCTGTGAGAGTCACAAATCACTCCTGCACATCTGGGCAGAGCTGTCTGTGCAGTCCACTGTGCCTGGTGTATGTCTTGGGCTCTTGCTAGACCGGGATGGTGGTAGTAGGTGGGAGCCAGGTGATTGGCGAGATGTGGGGGAGGCTGGTGGGTGGGCAGGCAAGTAGGCCTAGGGTATGGTGTATGGATGGAGGGATATGTGCAGGAAGCCTGGTAACTGCCCCAGGAGATTCCCTGAGATAGTGACATGTGGATGTGCCTGAGAGCATGTGGCCAGGTCTGGACATGGGCTCACCCCGTGTTCTCAAAGACCTGCCCTGGCATGGGCCCCCCCCATGTTTTCATACACCTGCAAGAGCCAGACACCCCATTGTTGGCATGTTGTCACCTGCCTGACCATCTTTGGCTATGCAAGTGTTCCTCCGGGTAGTCCCCTGGTTGGCTCAGGGACCCAATTCCCCTTCCCCTCCCTCAGGTCTGAGGAGTGGGGGATGGTGTGTTCATTCCAGGATATTGCTTGTTCTTTTGTGACACTGACACATCTGTCTCAGGATTCTGGTGGTGCTGTCCCCAGTGGTCCCTCTGGGAAGTACATGCTCTTCTAGGTGACTGCTCCACTTTCTGGCAGCTTTCCCTCTTCTGTCCTACACCTTCAGATTGGTTGGGTTCATGTGTTGGGGCCCTTAGGAAGGGCTGGGGTCACCTGGCCTTGTGCCCTGACATCTGACCCAGGGCCTTGGGACTGCATGTGAGCAGCTATACTGGGACTAGAGCTAGCTCCTTTTGTTCCTCCATCTCCTTTTCTGGATGTGGAGGGCAGGGTCTGTGTGCTGAGTAGTCTTCAAAAGATGGCTTAGAAACCTTTTGTTGAAATGTCCCCCTGATTAGGGAGCAGCCTGCTGTGTTCCCAATTTGCAGGTCCAGTGGGACTTTGTCTTGGCCTGGTTCTTAGGCCCCACACCATCCCTGTGTTGTCTGAAGTGGGTCCCTTGGCTCGGCAATTGGGGACTCTGGGGTGAGGGGTGGGTGGGCTGGCCTTGGCAGTTGTCCCCACTGTCATTCCCCACCATCCTCATGGGTCTCTCTCTCTGCAGTCACACCGATGATGGAGCTGAAGCCTAATGCGGGCAGTGACCGTGCCTGGGTCTGGAACACCCACGCCGACTTCGCTGATGAGTGTCCCAAGCCAGAGCTGTTGGCTATCCGCTTCCTAAATGCTGAAAGTGAGCAGGAGGGTGGGGCTCATCTGTCACACAGTATCGTGGTTTAAGTGCAACAAATGCTATTGCTTTTAGGAAGAAGGGATGGTAGCTAGGGACTGTGTTAGAGCTGTGTCTACCCTGTTGTCTTATGCCTGGCACTTCAGTTTCGTGTTAATGTCCTGTTCCTTTCAGACATTTTGGAGCCTCAGATTAACCTCAGGGCCTCTGCCAGGTTTCTGCCTCACTGAGACTGTCTCACTGTCACTGAGACTGTGATAGCTCCTTACAGTTGCAGTGGATATCCAGACCCACTTCTCTGCTTTACTTGGGAGGGGGCGTCTTTGCAGTCTGGATGGTTAAAGTTTCACCTAGTGGTTCCTGGATGAGTTGGTGGGTGTCTAGATGTCCAGTAGCTGACCATCTGGGGCTGAGTGAACCTTGCCCTTGTCCTAGGAGTAGGGCTGTCCCTGCAGCCCTTCCAACACAAGTCAGGGCTAGAGCTTTGGTTGCTGAAACTCCCACACGGTCTGCTCCTGTGCTTAAGTTGTATGTAGTCAGATGAAGGGAGACATAAGACTCCAGCCTTGGGAGGAACTCAGAGGTCAATTTTGCGTGCAAGTTCAAGACCCTCTGTGAAGCTCATCTCTTTTTTCTTTCCCAGTTTTGGCTGGGGCTGGGCTTGGGCTTGAACACGCCACCCCTGATAAATGGGGCCGGCACCCTACTCCTTGAGCCACAGGTGCTGCCCTGTGAAGCCCAGCTCTTTAGGTCCATAGGGTATAGCCACTCCACTGCTCCTGGCTCTTAGGAAGTCATTTTCTTTTTTCCTCAGATGCACAGAAATTCAAAACAAAGTTTGAAGAATGCAGGAAAGAGATTGAAGAGAGAGAAAAAAAAGGTGATGTGGTGCCCTAGGGTGGGGGCTTCCTCGCAGACTCACTCTGCATCCGCCTGCAGCCCCAAGGCGGGTGCTTTTTCAGTCTGCCAGAGAAATAGTCCAGGTGCTGCAGCTGTCTGACCCACTGTCAAGGGCAGTGCAGCTGCCTGGGGACACGGGTGTCCAGTGTTGCTGGCCAGGTGGTTGCCTCACAACGCTCTTGACTAAACTCTCCAGAGTGTAAAGGTGCTTTGAGATGGTCCTTGTTTTTCTGTCTCTCAGAGGACATAGTCACCTGCTCTGGGGCCAGATGATGGCTGGGACCAGATTCCCCTGAGTAGCCTGCCCAAGGTTTAGGCAGCTTGTGAACATGTGTTTGCGTGGCCTTTTTCAGTGCTGGTCCTGGCAGGAGTCAGTCCCAAGGGTGGGCAGCACTCGGGGGTCTGGGTGGCGGGCAGCATGGTCTGATGTTTCCTTTCTTTTCAGTTCTTTTATTGTGCTTGCTTGTGTTTTTAGCAGGATCAGGCAAAAACGATAATGCCGAAAAAGTAGCTGAAAAGCTAGAAGCTCTTTCAGTGACAGAGGAGACCAAGGAGGAAGCTGAGGAGAAGCAATAAACCGTCTTATTTCCATTTCCTTTCTTTTTTCTTTTTAAAATTTTGCTCTGCCCCTCCTTTTCGGTATTTTTATTCTGTTTTGTTTTTACAAGGGACTTTATATAAAGAACTGAATTCCAACATTAAGGTTGGAGTTTTTTTCTAAGTTTTTGCCCTATTGAAGACAACTTCAGAAAAACCATTCCCCAGTCATGAAAATGTACTGTGCTAACTTTCTTTTCCATAGTGGAAACACTTATTTATAGTCATTAAAAATAGCAAAATAAAAAACCCATTTGGAACCTGGGCCCGATAACAGGACTGTGTGCACTGCCCCCTCTTCTGCAACTATTGTGGGTTCCCACTGGCCCCTGGGTGTGCACGTCCAGGTCTGTGTGGCCACAAGGCACCATGCCTTACCATGCCAGGTGCTCTGGAGACTCCTCTGGCATTATGTGTTTGTGTGTTGGTGTGGGTCTTACAGTGGTGGTGTGTCTGAGCTGTTGTTAATGAGGCAGCCTGGCCAGGGGTGCTTGGTGTGGGGCTGGTGCTGGGCCAGGTGTGCTCTGCCTCCCTCCAAGGTCTAGACAGCCATTGCCCTCCCTGTGGTGATTAGGTAGGCTGCAGGTATGTGTGTTTGGGAGACAGAATGGATGGCCTCTAGAACCTTGCTTCGGCACAGGGAAGTAGTAGCCAGCTGAATGGGTCTCCACACTTTGGTAAGACCAGGTCTGGTGGGAGAAAAGGCTTGGTTAAGCCCCCCAACTCTTTTTTTTTTTTTTTTTTTTGAGACGGAGCCTCAAGCTGTCCCCCTAGGTAGAGTGCCATGGCATCATGCTCACAGCAACCTCCAACTCCTGGGCCCAAGCGAGTCTCCTGCCTCAGCCTCCCAAGTAGCTGGGACTACAGGCGCCCGCCACAACACCTGGCCATTTTTTGGTTGCAGCCATCGTTGTTTGGCGGGCCCGGGCTGGGGATTCGAACCTGCCACCTTAGGTGTATGTGGCTGGCGCCTTAGCCGCTTGAGCCACAGGCGCCGAGCCAAGCCCCCCAACTCTTAATGTCAGGAACCCTGTCAGATACCCCACTGCAATCCTTAGAGAAAACTGAGGTTTTGGCCTCCTTGGACTTGGAAGTCCAAACTCTGGAGTGTTGGAATTTGAGGCATCTGCAGTAGCTTTAAATAGACATTTTTAAGGATGCTGTTGGGGTTTTTTTTGTATAACAGGTAGTCTCTGCAGGCATCTTAGGTTGGAGGGGAGAGGATTTCTAGTGCCCAGGAGAGGTTTTGAAGCACATGGTCCTAATCACTGAATCCTGTTGGTCCTGGGGAGACCGCGAGAAATCTCCAGGGCTCTAAGGGGCTGTGCCAGCCCTATGCTTTTTAGTGGAAGAGGAGCAAGCTAGGACCTGACCCTGGAGTGGCAGTAAGAGGAACTCAAATCACATCCCCTGTGGTTGCTTGTCACTAGTGCCTCCCAGGGGAGCTTCACAGTGTGGTGGTGCATCCTTTGTGCCCACCAGCTGGGCCTGGGGCCTGTTCTCTGTGACATCCTGTATGGTGATCATATCTGATTTAAACATTGGTACTTGGTCCCTCTGGGGGATGTGCTTCCAAAGGCAGCTGCTCTTGTTTTTTGTTTTGTTTTCAATTTTGGTCAGGGCTGGGTTTAAATGTGCTACCTCCGGCATATGGGGCCAGTGCCCTACTCCTTTGAGGCACAGGTGCCGCCCAGCTGCTCTTGTTTTTTAAAAGCCTGACTGAAGAGGCCAGTTCTGTGGGCCTCTGCCCGGTGCAGTGTAAGCCTGCACCAAGTCCATGCAGGGTAGAGGTGCTGCTCCACCTTGTGTGTGCTGGGGCCCTGAGGCCTTGGGATTGTGATGCTGTGAGCACAGGGTGCTCCCTGTGCCTCCAATCATGCCCCACAGCAGTGGGATATGATAAGGGTATCCTTATCATACCCTGCTGGATAAGGGTATATGTGGTGCATGTGAAAAGTAGGCTCCCGCAGGCATGATCTCCCTAAACCCTTCACTAGGACAGTAGACAACCCTTTGTCAGCATAGAGAGGATGTTTAACTTTCAGTCTTTGGCTTTGAGTTCCAATAAAATTCCAAGCTGACTTCATCCGCAGATGGGAGAAATAACTCCAAGGGGAACTCACTGAGCAGGAAGGCACCCCAGGGTGGCTGGGGGACAATCCTGTCCTGTGGTCAGGGTGTATTGCAAGTGTTCAAGGGTGTGGCTTGTTAACACTAGAATGTGCAAGGGAATGGAATATAGGCCACACCAGGATGCCAGTGTCGTGAGGGTGGGGGGGCTCTGCAAGCTGCCAAGCCCAGAGGGTTTCTGGTGCACCCCTTTGGCAGAGGGGCAACAGGAAGCTGGACTAGGGGGTCCTGCAGGTGTCGGGATCCTGTGAGACATGCAGTGATGTTCAATCTTCCATGCCAGGCCTGTGCTGGGCCATGGGGTGGGGGTGAGGGAGCTCCTGCTTTGTGCTTTATTTCCCAGAGAACTGGGTGGTGGACTTAGCAACATGACTGAGGCCTGCCTCGGACCTGACTGCTGGGTCAACCTGTCCCTGTTGAGCTCCATGCTGGGCCCTCACTAGTTCTGTCTTCTGCAGCTGGGTTTGCGCCTCCTTGGCTCTCTCTCCAGCGTCCTCTGCAGTAAGGAAAAGGGTCTGGTCCAGCTGGAGTAAGCCTGTTTCCAACTTCCCAGGGCTCTGATTCCTGTGGAGGAAGGTGACTGTCCCCACACCATACACAGGTCAAACCTGGGCCTGGCAGGCCACATACAGTTGAGGTGGGGAGGTGTCTGTCCTAGCAGCATCTGCTTTTAGTTCACCACAGTATCCTGAGACCCCTCTGTGGCCTCAGAGCTTCCATCAGTGCTGGGGAGTCCCTGTGCGGGCCCTGGTGGGGGCTGCAAAGCAAAGGTTACAATGGGGTATTTGGTAGAAAGCCCATCACCATTTCTGTTGCCAGGTAGCCAGCTGCTTAAAAGGCGTTCCCGGGCTCATTTCTCTAACACCCCCCAGCCCTGGCCCAATCACTCTGAGGGGCTGGGCCCAACGTTCCATGCAGCTCCCTAGGCAAGGGGAGCCTTACGACCCCGCATCGATCCCCACCTGGGGGGAGTGTATAGTGGGTCTGGGTTTCATCACGGGTCGCCAGGGGCATATTGGAGTGACCGAGAACAATGACCCTCCCTGGGGAGGCTCCTCCACCAGGGGTGCCAGCAGAAGCGCGCCCCCCCCACCCCGACTGCCCCGTGAGCACTGCGTCGGCTGGTCCACCTTAAGCGACAGCAGCGCGGCGCTGGTGGGTGGGATTTCCTGCGCGGGGTGGGCCTGTGGCAGGCCTATTGGGCCGACCGGGCGCTGGCGCTTCCTTGGGGGCTCCCACTCGGGGAAGACGCGGCGCTGGTTGGGCACCCTGGGCCTCCCCTGGCACCGCAGTTTGGGCCAGGACCCAGAGGGACGCGCCGCCTGCCTTCCTTTCCCTGGCTGGACTCGGTCAGCTAAGGGATCAACCACCACCATAGCTCTGTAGTGTCCTCCCCTCCGCTGTGAATGCCAAGGGCTTGGCATGAGAGTGGTGGGCCCAGCGTGGAGCAGGGACCAGCAGCTTCCCCCCGGGGACATGCCCAATGCTGTTTAGGGAAAGGGCCGAAAACAGGCCTAAGAGGGGACCCGCGTACGCCATAGCGCCGGGACCTACGGGCCTGGGCCGGGAGCCTAGTTTTCACTGTGGCACCTACCCGGCTGGCAAAGCCGCAGGGGTGTGGACGCCTGGCCCGTTTGCCCATTGGGAGGGCTCAGGTTCTGCGTGTGGAAACGTGAATTAGGGGTTCG